GGTCCGAGCCTTTGTTTTGTGATGTATGACTTCAACTTTATGTCGAATTCTTTCTTCAGACATCCTTCTTTGCTTTCCTACCCGGTAATTAGGGTGTCCAAAGCGAAGTCTGTTGAACCGTAATCTTGTTGGTCAAACTTTCGTGAACGAGGTCTCTATTGGAAGTAGGAAAGTTTTCCCTTTGACTTCTTTGCCGAAGTTTTATTACTGCTGTCGGGATCGTGGCGGTTCATTGATCCATGTTCAGAATTCATGGATCCTTGTGATCCGTGTTTTGGATTTATTTTTCCTTATTTCGTTCTTTCTTCGGTGTCGGGCCTCATGAGCCGGGAACCGTGTATACTATTTCAACATTCCTCCCTTAACCTTTTTGGCCGAGGTACATAGCTCGGACTAGTTGACCAGTCTTTTTGACTGTCTTACCGAGATCTTGAAGTATAAGGATTGCTGCTTTTAATTTTGGTTGCATTCCTGCACTTGCCCCCCAGTTCGACAGTCGGAAATCTGGGATGTCAGGCTGTAGTACTTTAATTCAAGCATTTTTATGTCGGAATACTGACTTGCCTTAGCAATTTGCCTTTTTTGCTGATCTGAGGATCTTTGAGATCCCTTTTCACTGATGTTGCGGGGTTTTGTTCCCGATTCTTCGCATGTTTCGTTTGCAGAGTTGAATTTAGCCCAGTTTTATATACTGTAGCTTTATTCACTTGAGCTCGGCTTTGCCAGAATCTCGTTGTGATATCGTCTTCTGTTTCAACCCGGCTGTGCATACCGTGTGTTTCACAGATTTTGATATGATCAAAATCATTCACTTTTTAAGTCTGGGTTGTATTGTCGTGACGTTCAGATAGAACGGGGTGAGACTCCCGCTGAATGATTTTGCCTTTATACTCGCATCTTGAGTTAGATATATTTTTCTAAGTATTCGAGGTTCATCAGATTCTAGAGTTGCCTGAAGTATTTGTTGAATACTTCTAAGGACTTAGCATTCTCTTGATTTTGATAAACAAGCTTGTATCCTTGTTATCTAGGTTTGTAACTTAGGAAATTTTCTATGAATATCAAACCTTACTCGAGTTGTTCCTCATCCGAGACGGGTTATTTTTACAACTCGAATAAATTCTTATTTTTGCAACTCGTGCATTTTACGAGTTCCGGTATATTGACATGGCCGAGGTCAAACATTATACGGATTCCGCTTTTTGTCACTCTCCGTGACACATGTTTGTTTTAACTTAACGTTTTGTTAAGTCAGCATTGATGAAGGTGATTATTGTCGCCTTCGATCATGACCTGGGTTTCGTAACCCGGTACTATCCAAGGTAAAGGTAGTATTGTCACATGTCCTACTTGGGTATTTCGACCTTAGTACGAAGCATTTCGACTTGATCAGAGTCAGCGTGACAAATTGTGCTTATATCTCAGATTTATGCTGATGCATCAGAATCACAAGGATCCATATTTACGAAGGTATGTACTTGTTCCCTCATTTTACTTTAACCCGGATTCGTATACCGTGTTTTTATAATATTCAACTCGACCTTTTGCCTGAGTTTCAATTTCAAAGGCGTCATGATGACTTGATTAGTGTCGCTTTAATCTGCCCTTTTGAATTTTAGTTCATTTTGGATTATGGAAGCGTCCTCCCACTTTCCCTGAACCAGGCTTGATGTCGCATGCATGCATTATTCTTACATTTGAACCCGGATTGGATCCGTCTTCCAGTTTATATATTGGATTTATATTTATCCTGGATTGGATATCTCCATATCCGTCGTCATTTTATTTTCGATTTATATCTCGAATCTTTATGTCTATCTTGGATTGGATCTCGCCATATCCGCCTTCAGCTTGGATTGGATTGGATCTCGCCATAACCATCTCCATTTTACCTCCGATTTGCATATCAGATCTTTATCTCTCTCCCGGATTGGATCTCGCCATATCCGCCTTCGACTTGGATTGGATTGGATCTCGCCATATCCATCTCCATTTTACCTCCGATTTGCATCTCGGATCTTTATCTCTGTCTCGGATTGGATCTCGCCATATCCGCCTTCGACTTGGATTGGATTGGATCTCGCCATATCCATCTCCATTTTACCTCCGATTTGCATATCGGATCTTTATCTCTCTCCTGGATTGGATCTCGCCATATTCACCTTCGACTTGGATTGGATTGGATCTCGCCATATCCGCCTTCGACTTGGATTGGATTGGATCTCGCCATATCCATCTCCATTTTACCTCCGATTTGCATATCAGATCTTTATCTCTCTCACCGGATTGGATCTCGCCATATCCGCCTTCGACTTGGATTGGATTGGATCTCGCCATATCCATCTCCATTTTACCTCCGATTTGCATCTCAGATCTTTCGTTTAATTAACCATTTATATCCCGGAGGGCCGGTCTTTATTTAATAAACCATTTATATCCCGGAGGGCCGGTCTTTATCTCGGATTTAAGTGCCATCCTGTTGTAAGGATTGCAATCCGTCTTCATATTTATATTTCAGATTGGGGTGTGATCTTTTTGCCAAGATCCCATCTCTCCAATCCAGTCTTTATTCTTTATCTCGGATCCTGATGCTGTGATCGGAATGCTTCGGCTTCATTTGCCGTGGTCTTTTCATTTTCTCGAGCCCGGCTTCTTGTGCCTCGGCTCTTCTTTCAGTTTGGCTTCTTTAGCCCAAGTCTTGCGTTCATCTAGGTGGATTTCCTTCTTTATTTGAGTGGATTTGGATCTCCTTCCTTTTTTTAGAGGGAATCTCTACACCACCTATTTGATTATTCTTTGCAAAAATGCAACATAGTAAAGCATGAAGTAGGCTATTAGCAATAATTTTGCTTCAATCAATAATTATCTGTGTGTAATCAGATAATAATTGTTATCAACAATTAATAGTTGATCAGCATCAATCAATAATTAATATTAGTTGACCGTATTTCATGTTATCAGATTTGATTGAGCATCTATCATAAAGCCACGTGTATATATATATATATATATATACTAAAGGCTGTATTAAATACATTATGCCAATCAAGACAAATATTTGATTTGTCCACAAATTACTCCCAAAGCATTCAATTTAATAAGGTTTTAATCAAAGGCTGTATTAAATACATTATGCCGATTAAGACAAATCTTTGATTAATTTTATCAGATATCGATATAAAATATTAAAAAGGTGAATCCTTTTATCAGATATCGATATGAAATATTAAAAAGGTGGATCCCCACAGACGGCGCCAATCTTACGATCTGATAGATCGATATGTCCAATCATAGATTGGTATGTTAATATAGGATCTGTTTGCCCTCCCTCAGGTACCTATAGGAGAGGTACCCTAGAGATCAGCGGATCACTGTGCACAATAATATATACGACATAGTCAAGGCGTGGGGTGTGTGCACAGTGACAAGCTAAGAGAGAGAGTTTAGAGAGTGTGTACCTTATTGGTTAACCCCTTATTTATAGATGGGTTACCTGGCAGGAGTGGACTTTTGGGCCTCTCAGGAGCATTGGGGGTCCAATTGTTGATCTTTTGCTGCCGTAGTAGGATTAGCATAATTAAAGAATGTTTCCTTAATTCCCTCTTAGCTGTTAGCCTTATTTGAGCCTTCTAAAATGTAGGCCTTTGTCAGGTCCATAACAGTATTATCCTTTTTTTAATTCTTCTTTCCTGCAAAAACCAACAAAATAAAGAAACTTGTTGAAGCTGGCAAAGATAATTGGAAGGGTGTTACATCAAGTGAACGAGAGTTTTGAACTTTTGATGTTTTTACCACATACCATATCACACCAGGCTTATAAACAATGCTTCGTTCTTATATTTACTTATAGTAAATTCTTGAATCATGGGGAATAGATTCATTATTGATTTCTACTCATTTTAAAGGAAGGTTAGCAGATAATTAGAAAAGTGAAAATGAGCTGGCATGCAAGTAGGTAAATGTCAGAGGACATGCCTTATGTGTCTACCAAAGGGGTGGAAGAAGGATAGAAGGTTTCTTGCACAGATATTGGAAAGCTGAGGAAGTGAGTGTACTGTGTTTTTGTCACAACAGTTTTCTCACTCCAGCTGAGTTTGATAAACATGATGGTGGCAGTGATGAGGTGCACCAACTGAAGTATATTGTTCTCATGTAGTACATTCTATACCCACTTAAATTATAAAAAATAGACTTGGCATATGAAGAAGTTGCCAAGAAAATACGTGTAAATGTCGTTAGGTGAGTCAATGACTCAATGTATTATAATATATTTTTGTTTTTAGATAATGTATTATAATTTAAATGGGTTTAGAATGTACTACACAAGGATAAAAAATTGATCTCCTTTGTTCACTCTTAAAACCCACGGCACTACTAATCTGGGTGTGGAAATCATAGATATTATGGGAGGATTAAAGGTAGGAGAGGACAGTGGCACTTGTTAGAATTATTTTACATTTTCTCTGCACCACTTTGTTGGTGTTTTCTTTAGTTTTGTTGATTTTAGTTCTCATAATTTTGAGTATGTTTTTAGCTCAAAAAAAAATGAGCTGGAATTTTTAAATTAGAACTAAGTTGAATATGAAAGTTTAAAATAAGGAGCACTTAAAATTGGTATATTTAAAGTTATCGACAATATTACCAATTTTTATGGATTATATATATATATATATATATATATATATATATATATATATAATTCAAATATCATAAGTTTATTTCTTTTAATAAAAACTACATGATTCAGTATTATAAAAATGTTTAAATTTAATTTTGGATTTTGTTTGATAGATCTGATTACAAGATAAGTTTTCAACTTTTCATTGACGCCTCGATGGTTGAATCATAGCCACAAGCTCCAGTTTTGAAACTTCCTACTCCACTCATTCTGTTATGCGGTAGACAAGAACGAAATATAAAACACTCGCCTAATCAAGAAACCGATTCTATTCTATAATATTATTGATTGAACAAATAGACATGAAATCAAGAAACCGATTCTATTCTATAATTTTATTGAACAAATAATATGGAACAGAAGAAGTATACGGCATGGAAATCAAATATCTGCATTCTTATGCAGAATCTCAACAAGTCCCCTAGCCTAATCTAGAAAAGAGCGTGGAAAATTGGGGGCACAACTATATTAAAATGTACAAGGCGATTTAAGTACAATTTGGGAACTCAGCCTAATGCAAATACAAAAACATGGACCCAATAATGCTAAATCACAAATTACAAATTACAAGTGGGAATATTTCTAGGATTAATGTCAAAGGATCAAAGCCTCACAAGGGGCTAGCATGATGGGGGTTGAAGTTGCTTAAGCCTTCTTACAACATGTTTCATTGTAGGTCTGGTAGAGAGAGAATCAACAGTACACACAACTGCTAAGCGTAGCACCTCTACCAAATCATCTCCTGGTCCTGCATCCCATAACCCAGCAGTGAAGAACTCCTTTGCCCTGCCTTGTCTCAGTAGCATCCATGCCCATGCAACTATGTTGAAACCATTCCCATAAGAAGAAAATGAAGGGTCCAATGCCTTCTTGTCTGAGAGCAACTCTAGAAGCACCACACCATAGCTATACACATCAGCCTTATCAGAAACACGACAAGTCATGGCATATTCAGGAGCAACATATCCAAATGTTCCTGCCACACCAGTGGTAGCATGGGTCTCCGAAGTTCCCAGAAGTCTAGCCAATCCAAAGTCAGATAGATAAGCATTAAAATCATCATCCAGCAAGATATTGCTGGGCTTGACATCGCGATGAAGAACACGAGGTACACACTGATCATGCAGATAGGCCAGTGCACGGGCTATGTCCAATGCAATCTTGTGAAGAATTCTCCAATCCACAGCCCTTGTGGATCTCTCCTGGATGAACTTCTCCAGATTACCACCTGGCAAATAATTGTATACAAGAAACATCTCTGTCTCAGAAGCATGAAAACCAATCAGAGTGACAAGGTTTGGATGATGAAGCCTTCCAAGGGTCTTAATCTCTGCATTGAATTGTTGAACACCTTGGAAACGTCCTACTGCCAGACGTTTGACTGCCACTAAGTTTCCTGGCGATATCTCTGCCTTATAGGTTGCCCCAAATCCTCCATTCCCAATACAGTTGCTTGCATTGAAATTTCCCGTGGCATGGACAACACTTTCAAATGTTATTTGGACCCCAATATCAGCAAACAATTCAACTTCTTTTCTCGCAGAACCAACAACCCTGGACTTTGGATTCCACTTCCGTGTGTAAAAGAATAGAACAATCAGGGCAATAAGAACAGAAACAATGGCCGAAGCAGAAGTTATAGATGCTATTTCAATAGAACTGAAGCTATTCCCACTCTTTTGGTCAGTAGCTTGTGGTGGTGCAACAATATTAGAACCATCAACAACCTGCCCTGGTTGATTGGCTGTTGGCACAGTTAGAGATAACCCGCGGCAGGAACTTAGATATGGATTCCCAACAGCACTGCTGCATTTAATCAAGTTACTATGTGATGGCAAGGATCCAGATAAGTTATTGAAAGACACATTAAATGCTGAGAGCGTACTGACATTTGCCAAACCAGCAGGAACAGGTCCAGAAAGGAGGTTGTTATTGAGTAAAACATCGGTCAGATTTCTCATGTTCTCAATATCCTTTGGAATCTCACCAGTAAGGAAGTTCGAAGAAAGATCCAAGACTTCTAAAGAGTGCAACTGCCCCAGGCTGGTAGGAATTGAGCCATTTAACTCATTACCAGCCAAAGAAAGAAGCTTCAGATCCTTCATCTGCCCAAGGCTGGTGGGAATCTGACCTTGTAACTGATTCCTACTGAGGTTCAGAGCAACAAGAGAGACCGAATTCCCGAAGGCAAGGGGAATTGGTCCTGCAAACAGATTTCCAGATGCATCCAGAAATTTTAATGATCTGCACATTCCACCAAAATCGGAAGGAATCTGACCAGATAACCTATTATAACTGACATTTAAAAGCAATGCATCTAATCCATCACATTTCTCAAATAGATACGTAGGAAATGGTCCCGTAAGATTGTTTTCTCCAACAAGAAAAGCGTAATCAGTTGCCTTCCCGAGCCTGTCACGTGCTATTGGCAATGACTGAATGCCAGTAAAGTTGTTTTGCCCAAAGTTGTGAAAAGCTGAAAGACCAACTCCCCTCAGTGATGGTAAAAGGGTTCTCTCACGAACCTTTGATGAAAAAAAGGATGCATATGGAGGGGACATGTTGTCAGCATCAAACAAATTTCCATTCCATAAAGTAACAGGGAGACAAACGTTACTATTGGAGAAATCAGGAATTGAACCAGATAAGATGTTCCCACTAACATCAAACAGAGTCATACAGGGAACATGAAGTTCTTCAGAAAGCTCGCCAGTAAGGTTGTTTGAGCTTAAATCAAGAAAATGCAGCTTCTTGCAAATACTCAGCTGGTTTGGAAACTCCCCACTGAAAAAATTTTGAGCCAAATTGATCATCTCCAAGTTATCACAACCACCCCAACTGCCTGGAAAACTGCCTTCCAGGTTTACCATAGGAGCCCACAATATTCTCAGCTTTGGAAGCGCCATAATTTCTGCAGGCATTGCACCTTCAAAATAGTTCAACTCATCATTTACAGAAATCAGTTTCCCCACCGAAGCACCAGCAACATCTCCATCTCCGAGTGGATTGAAAAGATTCGACAGCACAAGAACAGACAACTCCGTACAATTCCCAAGCTCTCGGGGCACAGAACCACTGAGAGTGTTCCTCGAAACATCCAACACCTCAAGGTTCTTAAGATTGCCAAATTCAGCCGGAACAACATCTTCCAACAGATTAGAATACAGCAAAAGCGTCCGCAACCGACTACAATTACCCAAACTCGCCGGAATCCCTTGAACTAATAAATTACCAGATAAATCCAAATGCTCAAGTTTCCCACAATTGTCCCCAATCTCTGGTGGGATAACCCCTCCAAGCTGATTAAACAACAAATACACCCCCCTCAGCTTTCCAACAAAACCAGGAACAGAACCATTCAATTCATTGGCAGCTAAATTCAAAACCTCCAAACTCTCAAGAGATGCAAAAATTGAACTTGGTATCTCCCCAACAATCCTATTGAACCCGAGATTCAGAACCCGCAAATTCCTCAAACCACTAACCCGAAAAGGAAGATACCCGGTTATCAAATTCCCCTCTAGATCAATAACCTCTAAGTTTTCCATACGCCAAATTTCATCAGGAACTTCACCCTCCAACCCATTGAAGGGAAGGGAAAGAACCCTAAGCTCAGAAAGCTCACTGATCAAAGGCGAAACCTTCCCAAACAAAGAACCATTACTACCCTCACAGCTCCTCCTAATTCCAAACCCATAAAGCGGAAACTGAGCAAAATCGGAGCACGGGTGAGAGTTTCGTTTACCTCCGCCGGCAGCGGCGGCGCCGTTTCCGGTGATGTTGAGCGCGACGACGCGCGAGCTCGAGTCGCAGAGGACGCCGAACCAGAAACAGTGGTCGGAATCACCGCCGGCGCCGGCATTCCACGTGGATAGCAGACCGGAGGGGTCGGAGAGTGAGCTTTTCAGGCGAAGGAGCACTGATTTGTCCGAATCGGACGAAACGGCGTCGTTTCGAGATGCGAAGAGGAGAAGGAGTACGCAGAAGAGGAAGTAGAATCGAGTAAAGGAAAAAGGATAAGATGGAGAAGAACGAAACATCTCATACAGAACCAAAACGAATTGAAACACTTCTTCCCCCTTTTTTTTCCACTGAAGTTGAAGAGAGAAAAAGGGTTTTTCTGAAAACCCTAATCCGAAAATTGAGGGGAAAGGTAGACAGAGAGACGAAGAACAAGGAAGAACAACACTCAAGTCTCTGTACTTTTCGCAAAACGCGTTTTTCTTCTTCTTTTTTTTTTTTTTTTGGTTTTTAAATAATAAAAATGATTTTTTTTCAATTTTCTCCGTAAGGTAGAGTTTCGTGTAGTTTGGGAATTGGGATTGGAGGGTGATGGGGTCCACTGACATTACAGGTAGGATGGGTAGGGACCACACGTAGTCAACAAATCAAATGTAAGGCTAGGGTTGATTTGAGATTGATTATTGAATTTTTAGGATTGAACTATAAAATGAGACTTGCTAAGTTAATCCTATAATTGTTGGATAAAAATGAGAAGACAGAATAACTAGAGGATTTAACTCCTGCATATATAGAGCTTGATGCTAGTATCAAAATCAATATCATGAGTTTCTAACTATGCCTTGTTTCTAATCAAGTGGCAACAATCTCATTTCATTGTTTTTGATGTTATTCTCATTTTGGTTAACTTGCAAGTTGCAACTCTTTACAATACAACCATTGGCAAAAACTAGAAAGGAAATTTTGGAGGAGCAAACTATTGAAAATTACTTCAGAAACACTGACTTTTACCTTTTATTTGTCAGTTAAATTTTTCCATAATACAAGATTTTTCTTGACCAACCACATAATTGGCCACTAATATCTATTTCAGGGGTTACTGCTCTTCATAGTGAGATTTTAAAATCTTTTTCACCTATAACTTCAGATATTGAAGAGATATCTTCTACACAATGATATATGTTGTTTCTTTACCAAAATGCTCTCAGAGTCACCGTACCATTAAACACCATTTCCTTTTCTCTTGACTTAGGAATATTTTCGATGACTCTTACCATATTGATCTATATCACTATCTCTTTGAGAACGAAACATACATAATTTCCCCAACACAACAATTCAAACATCTTCCCTTAATTTACATTTTAAAACTTAAATATAGAGCAAGAGTTGAAGATAAGAAAATATGTCTCCAAAAAATTTGATAACTGAAAGTCTTGGCCGATATACTCTATAACTAAGGAAGACAAAAAAAAAATAATAAAAAAAAAATTTCCAATCACTAACATGGCTATGCCTATTCAGTGCTATACATGAAACTCAAATCCCTGCTTTAAGTGATGTTTGAATCACGAGCACTGCTATTTGTATAGAAAAGATTTTATGAAATAAGTTACGTATTACAAACGTCACCATTGCATGTGACCATTTCTCACCTACCCCTGTTTTTCACAAGTGACTAACACACTTTATTCAATTTTAATCTGAGATTTTATTAAAAACTTAAGACAGGTTGCCACCTCATTCAAAAAGATCCTAATAAAATCATTTCTTTGGGTCAAAACATTCTTATCTTATCACAAAATATTACAATCCGTCTCTTTATATCGTTGGAAAGCCATTTAACAAAACGGTGTGTTTAATTATTGGATTTTATAATTCTTATTTAACATGAGATTTTGAATTTTCCTACACATCTTTCGATTTCCGTGCCAACATGGGTCCTACACATAATTTTTTCTATCATACGGGTCCCACATGCTTTTTGTCTCTACAACATGAGAATTCAATTCTCATGTTGAATAAGAAATATAAAACCCTTAATTATTACCGTATATTGACAGAATTACGGACAGAAATATCTCTGACAGAATATTCCGTCAATAAAGCGGTCATTAGTCCTTTTAATCTTGAATTGGTTAGTGTTTCAGTCTATATTTTTGACGGGAGTTTGCCCATCGATAAACTCTGTCGATGATGTTGAGTGTTGACCGTTCTAGGAGTGTTATAACAAATATTGACCTGTTCTCTTACCCGCGCTAAATGCTTCAAATCATGTAGTAATTAACACTTTCCTTAAGATGACTTGGAAAAGTTTGGTAGGATGTTTTAAAAAATTTGCCTATCATTGAAATTTGTATAACAAATTTAGTTTATGTATAAAATTGAAAAAATTTATCATTTCACTTTTCGTCAATATTTTATCTTCAATCAAATATAGATTTAGAAAACAAAATTATATTTCTCGTTTTTAACTTTTTTAGTCTACCAAACAATTTTTTTTTTTTTTTTAACTTTCCTACTAAACTGACTTTCCACCATATTCTTAATAATTGTATTTCCGTGATAAATTTTTTTTTCTTTACCAAACACCTCTTAATTCATTTTACCATCTTCCAAGGATTAAGTTGGAAAAAAAAAGAGTTGGAAAGAAAACCTGCAAACTCAATGCTAGTAGCAATTCAAGTAGGCATGACATGTTTTTGATTCCGAAGAGAACTTTTAATGTTCCAGGAACATATATTCTTTTCATTAAAATGTAACATTTTAATTAATTTCTTTTTCTTTATCTTCTGCACACATCACACTTTCTATCTAGTTTTGATTGACTCGTCCCATTGAGTAAATGATAGTAATAATTTCGCTAAATTCATATCAAAATTATTAACACTCGAAGCAATGAACCGATTAGAATATTTAAAAATAAAATAAAATTATTAACACTAACATGGTCATTTTATTTTACATATTGACATGATATAAATAATCTGCCAAGTTCAAATTACATGAATAAATAACATAAAATTATAAAAAATATGTACACTTGAATAACTTCAAAATTCATAAATAAAAGTAGAGGTAAATATGTAACTATTTGAGTCTAAAATTTCAGGTCATGTTGTTGGATTACACAAACACAAATATCACACACACAAATAATCTACGATTTTTTTCAAATGTCATTTTCATGTCGATATTAATTCGACATGAACATGAATATGAAAATTTCACATTATGTTCGAATTGTGTTGGGGTGAGGTGTAGGAATTTAAAAGTTCACACCAAATAATAAAATCTATGACATAAACTTAGCATCAGAATCCACCAACTAATAATATTGCCAATCTCATCACTAGTACTTTCATTGTGCCTAATCTGGCTCGTATTACACTATCATTATGTCAGATGATTCTCATTATGCAAAACCTTACGAAGTGAAATACAAATCCATCTCTGTCATCTGATAGATATGCATATACACATGAGTAGTATTAAATTAGTAAACTGTTATCACTCGATCTTCACCCTCCATCATCTTAACATTAAAATCATTTACTTCTCAACCATTTACACCAAAGCTGCACCTGGAAGCTTAGTGTTCCAAGCTAGATCTTCCTTTTCCTCTTGCATTTTATGGAAGATACACAACTCTGAAATAATTTCCATGTAACTATGAGGACCCATTGTATGTCCATATTTGATTAGGTTGGCATTCTAAAAGGGGCAAAGTCAAATAATTATTGCCGTTTCAACATCATTTGAAGACCTTTCTCAAAAACATGGTGACCAACAAGGAAAGCAAAAACACCAATTTCTACCACCTTGACTTTTTGCAGTTTCAGTTTCAGGATTAGGAGGTGGCAATGGCTTCTCTGGCTGCTGCTGTTCAATTTTATCTTGCTTTACTGACTCTACTGTTGCAAAACTAGTTCTTCCTCCATCAGCGGTCAATCTGAAAGAAATCAAGAAGGAAATGATGGTTAATAGCAGGATATTAAAAGAATCAAATTATTCAAGGAGTACGAAAATTTTTCTTTTCACGTTAAGTGGATACCAAAATTTAATTTCATGGCTGAGATTTACGATATGTATGATTAGCCATCCAAAGAAAATGCAGCACTATATAATCAACTGCTTAAAAACATTGCCTGAAACTAAACATTGAGAAGCTAGGCATAACATGAAGTAACAAATAAGTAGTCTTGCACATCTGATTTCTGTTAAATATTATGCCACCTAAATTAGTGATGGTAAATTTTTATAGTAAGATATTATTAAACTTTAAGTTATCATAGTTTGAGTTATTTGCAAACAAAGTACATTTCATACCTCCTAAATTGTAACATTAATGCATTGGTCATCTATATTGGGTTGTACGTGTTATTAGCAAACTTTTAAGAGGTTAGAAGAACTAGTCTGCAAATGATACTACTTTTGCTTAACTCAGATTCCACCAAAGAAGAATATCTAATTGATTTCAATCATATTTCAGAACAGCTTTTGAGACATAGCTATGCTACTTATTGGTGAGGTTTGTGTGTGTGAAAAAACATATTCTCAGTCTTGTTGGTTTGCATTCAATATATCTAGACTCTAGAGTCTCCTTAGAGAAGTTATGGCATAATGATAAAACAATCATATATAAGCAAAGATATGATGGAACTCACATAGGAAATTGAAATGAACGGGTGCTTATATCACTCTCAATTGAACGGTATGAGACGCTGGCATAATTCTTGGATTCCTCTCTAGGGACATTTATTGTTTCTTTACTATGATCATCATCTGGAGTTTTGTCCAACACAGTTGTCTCAACTGCTGTTGATGTTTCTGTTTTTCTTTGGTCATCCTTCTCAACTAAATCTTCAGTTTCATTTGATGTTTTTTCACAATCATCCTGCACAGCTAAATCTTCAGTTTCATGATTACGGTCATCCTTCACAACTAAACCATCTGCAGTTTCATCTGATGTCTTTTTATGGTCATCCTCCTCAACCAAGTCTGAAGCTTTATCTGATGAATCTGATGACACAGAGTGTCTCTCCTTGTACACTTTTTTGTCATTAGTTGTTACCTCTTGAGCAGGTGGCAGTGCTGGAGGCATGGGCAATAATTCCCCAGATCTGAACATAAAAGCATGATCCATTGAGAAACTGCTGTTTCCCAAGTGTAGGCTAAATAGTGATTCGTTTGAGGTAAGACTCCATTCCATAGGACTTGCAGGTCTAGAAAACACAGAAGAGGGTATTCTATTTGGGTCATACCCATTAGGACTCATATACTGAATTGGAGGAGATTGTGTAACGGACCCACTTTGAAAACTCCACACTGGAGAGCCTAATCCAGCATCCTTAGTTTCAAAATTATCTATGCTATCATCATCTGATGAATCTGAAGAATCTGATGAAATAGAAGAACTTGAGTGTTTTTGATTAGCAATAGGATCATCATCGTCTTCAGGAAGATCAAAATGCACTTTCAATTTCTTACCACTGTCTCTCCTATTCTCATAACTCAAGAAAGCCATTAATTTTGAAGCTCTACAAAAAAAGCAAGACAAGTAGAAGCACTTTTAGACCACAATTGTTACAAAATAGCTATTAGATTATAGCAATAGCATACAATTTTGATAATAGAGTTAACAAGTTTATCTATTGATGATGTTTTGGGCACTAAAAGAAAAGTTTCCATGTGTTAATATATGCCATGTAACACCCACAACATATTACGCTCATCCTTATACAATAAGAGATCATTTGCATCATTAGCATACAACATATAATCTTCATGATTTAAAAAAAAAAAAAAGGGTAACCAAAAACCCTTGTTTTTTATTTTATTTAAATCATTAAATAAAATATTGGGGAAAACTTATAAAACTTACTCAAATTTGCAGAATTATAATTCAGGAAACCCAGTAGCTTCAATTTGATTATAACGATCCTTCAATAAAAAAATTGGTGTTTTGCACCAGAAATCAGGAGATGGAAAATGACAAAGAAAATTACGATGAAATTTTGAGGAAAAGAGGGAGAAATTGGAAACGGGGTTAGGAAAAATTAAGGAGATGAAATCTGGGTTTTGGGGTATATGGGTTTGTCTATGGAGAAACACAGAAAGGGTTGACATTGTTAAAGGAAGGTAAGGAGAGGATAACGGGAATCAGAAGGTTCATGTAACAGAGTGATTAATCATTATGTATCAGAATTGAACCAATTCTGGTAGCCGTTAGAACCTTATACGGTTAGAGCCTAATTAAAACATTTTAGGTAACTGTGACAGTTAGATATTAAAAGAAAAATATTATTTTCATTAAACCATATGTAAATCACATAAAACAATATATATATATATATATATATATATATATATATATATATATATATATATATATATATATATATATGGGGCAAGATCATCTTACACCGGTGTAAAAATAATAAGTCTTACACCAAATCTTAACCATTGATTTTTTGCATCTAACGGTTAAGATTTATTAGGTCTCACTCATTAATTAATTTTTAATTCCCAATAAATCTCAACCGTTAGATGCACGGAAATCAACGGTTAAGATTTGGTGTAAGATTTATTATTCTTACACTGGTGTAAGTTGATCCTATCCTATATATATATATATATATATATATATATATATATATATATATATATATATGGGGTAAGATATTCTTACACTGGTGTAAGAGTTAAAAGTCTTACACTCAATCTTGACCATTGATCCACTTGTATCTAATGGCTCACATTACTAAAAATTTAGAGCCCTTAGATATAAGTGGGGTCAACGGAAAAGATTGAGAGTGTAACTTACACTGGTGTAAAATGATCCTGACCCTATAAATAAATATATATATATATGGTAATACTTTTCTTATGTTGTATAAGAGAAGTACTATCTCCTACTCAAACAATAAGTAAGAGAGAAAAAAAAGTTGGAGGTGAGAGAAAAAAATTCTTGTGGGACCCATTTGAAAAATGTGAGTATAGGAGATAATATTTTTCTTATGTAACATAATGAAAATATTTCCAATATATATATATATATGGGATAAATATTTCTACAACCACTTTAGATAAGGTTATCTACAGCCACCCTAAAAACTACGTCATTTTGATTAATGAAGATTGTTTCTGTAATTTTAGATGAATTAATGAAGGGTGTTTCCGTAATTTTGTTTATTTTTTTTATCATATGCATTTTACTGAAACACCCTTAATTAATTCACCTAAAATTACAAAAACACATTTCATTAATCAAAACGACGTAGTTTTTGGGATAGCTGTATATAATCTTATCTAAAGTGGCTGTAGAAATATTTTTTCCTATATTTATATAAGCTTTAATGTTTCTAAAGTGAATGTAGATAAGTTATCTACATTCGCTCCCAAAACGACGTCGTTTTAGGTTAAAAAATTAAAAAATTATGATAAAAAAGACTATTATAATCCAATAAATTATAATTACAAAAATACCTTGATTTCTGCCTCAAAACGACGTCATTTTGGGCTCAATGTAGATAAGTTATCTACATTGACTGTAGAAAAAACGAACTCATTTATATATACAGGGGGTTTGAGAAATGTTATATTTAGCAACTTACAACATTTTACAATCAAATCTTAACCGTTGATTTTCGTTAATCTAATAGTTATAATTTATTAGATCATAATTATTATTTAATATAAGTTTTTGAATTTTAAAAAAGTTAGTACAGTTGATCATGTAATCCTTATATATATAGATTAATTATTTGTCATGTCACTTGACCGTGCTGTTACCCAAAACTACGTCGTTTTGGATATTTATTTTCATTATTTAATCGATCGAAAATAGATGTTATATTTCTTTATCTTCTTTTATTATTATTGATTCACCTTTGTATGTTTATAAATTATGATTCCCGACTAGACAAATTCTTATGTCAAGTGACTTGACATCCGATTATCCCTATATATACATATATATGAGTTTAGTATTTCTCATTTTAAATGACACAATTTTGTGTCATTTTTAATAAAACTACGTCGTTTTGGTGTGTTTTGTTATTTTCTCTAATTTATAAAATTAAAAATAAAAAAAATGGAGGAGAGAAAATGTAAAACTTACAAAAATGACATAACTTTGTGTTATTTAAAATGACAAATATTTTTTCATATATATATATATATATATGAAGGTTATATTTACAACATCTTTTCGCCTACAACCAAATTTTAACAGTTGATTTTCGTCAATATAAAGGTTATAATTTATTTAGTCATAATTATTAATTAACGTAGGTTTTTGAATTTTTAAAAAAGTTAATACAGTTGATCATGTAATCCTTAAAATAAACGTCATTTTTGTTCTAGAAACATGACCAAAAAGCCAAAAATAGAGAGTAGCCAAAATGGGAAAAAAAAAGAGGGAAAAGGAAAAGGAAGAGGGGGGGGGGGGGGGGGGGGGGGGGGGTTCTCATGTACAGAAGGGCAATGCTGAAAATATAATAACAATTGAGGGTAATTAGAGAACTAAGAATAAAAGAAGTTATCCAGAGTTTGTGATTGTAATTGATACAGGCTATTTGGATGATAATTTTGGTCTCATATTTGTCCAAAACCATAGCATAAAATAATTGCTATGGTAGGAGTTTTGCAGCCTCTACCCTGCAATGTTGGAGTTCGGTCCCTCCACTGTAAGCCATGTAGTTAGCTTTTCTGCTTTTGAGCTTTGTTCACAACATAGCAAATTCATTACTTTTTTTTTTTGCAACCCAGAACATGAATTAAGTGTATCCTATTTATATGTACATGCATCGGCTCTTATGACAGGAATTGTCCATTGACATGTTTGCAACTGAAACAGAACAATTGTTGCCCTGCTGCTAATGATTGTTTAAAAAAGTTGAAGTTTTGAGAGCATTTTTATGATTCATCATCCATAACCATTAGTATATATGAACAGCCGCAAATATAAATTTCACTGCTCTTAAGTACTCTAATTATAGATAAATAACCTTCTTATCATTTACAGCTACAGGAAGTTACCATATTCAGAGTCCACTAATCCATATAACATCACCAGGTCCAATTAAATATTTTAGTTCTTCAATCCATCTGAGACTGCTTCAAGTTACAGGTGATTGCAGAGGTAAAACCAAGGTATATATGTATCTATCTATGCAATCTTTTCTAAAATAATAGTATTACTGTGATTAATTTGATTATTTTCTACCCTAGTCCTGAAAACAAAAATTTATTAATATATTTTAGCATTAATATTTATTAATATGATTAATAAATATGTTGAACATTTGGTCAAAACAAAAATTATCAGTTCAAAGCTACTAAGAAATGTTATATTGGTATGTGGCCTGCTCACATATGTTAACATGCAGAATATGCAAGTACATTAATTGTTTTTGTTCTAACAATTATCATGCACTTTTCCTATTAGGTTTTTGCATTGAGGAGGAGAAGGGCAAATGAGAGGACTGAAACTTATGTGCTATTAGAACCAGGGCAGGATGAGAAGTTTGTTTCTGAGGAAGAATTGAAGGCCACGTTAAAAGGGTGGCTGAAAAATTGGCCTGGTGAGGCTCTTCCTCCTGATCTTGCAAGATATGAGACCATTGATGATGCTGTTTCTTTTCTAGTGAGGTCTGTTTGTGAACTTGAAATTGATGGAGATGCTGGCTCTGTACAATGGTATGAGGTCCGTTTGGAGTGAATAGATATATATATATATATATATATATATATATATATATATATATATATATATATATATATATATGTAGTCATTCCATCAGCCATTTCATTCGTGCCTTGCCAACAACCATTTCATTAGTGTTATAACATTCCATTCTCTTGTAATGAACACAAGCATGTTAATTTATTAATAGACCTTAAAAATTTGTACAGTTGTATTGAACTAAAGGGTTACCTTACAAATTTGAATAGTTGTATTGACTAAAGCGACGGGGAGAAAAAAGAAATAAAATAATTTTTTCATATTATAACTATGTCTTACCATAAGACATAGTGTTAAACACTCATAAAGACACAAAGTTGTATCCTTTAAAAGGACAAACTTTTTTTCCTTAAATAAAATAAATTATCTAGGAAATTTGTGTAAAAGTTGAGAAGAAACCAGAATCAACAAATTCTACAAGAGAAGGGTAAAATAAAATGATCCAATTGGAATCCTTACCATAAGTTACTCCAAGGTTTAAAAGAATCTGGAAGTACAAAACTTTTTAACACAACAACAGATTTCAGCTACAAAAGCCTATTTATTTGGGGGGGTGGGGGGTACAACAAGAGCTTCACAAACTTCAAAGGCCTAATAAGCTTAAAAAAGGAAATAATTACACAACAGACAGTTCTTTAACATAGGAAACAAAGAGATAACTGAACAAAGATTCATTGAATTCGTCAAGTTGTGTTGATCTTCTCATCAACCAGCATTGGAAGCTTGTTCTGAAAAGGACCCACATCCTGCAAGGACATGTCTGGGATCTGCAGTAGTTGACATAAACTAGCACTGTTACATCACACTGAAAATTAAAGGGCACCCAAAACAAACTCTAATGAATACACAATAAGGTCATAGCAGAAACAGTTTTCATGGGTACCTTTGGTTGGTTTTTACCAGGTGGTAATAGTGCACCACCCTTTTTACTTCTGGCAAGAAGCCCTTTGGTTACTGGGGAGATCAACAAATCAGTTGGACTGGTATACCTAAGAAAAACACAAGAAAACAACACATGTTCATGTCACTAACCACATGATGAAGTCATTTGCATGTTCTCCTCATAAAACTTTCAGGAAATGATTACATGTATATGGTGATATATAACACATATATACCTTTCAGGGTATTTGAATGCCTTGGGAACTCTAAGACGATCTGGGGTTACAGATTTGCGCAATTCATTAGAAGAATTTTGATCATTCAGGACTTTTTGTTGAACTGGAGTTGGTGTTTTGCATTCAGGGTCAGGTGTTTGTGATTGAACTGGGACTTTTGGTGGCGTTTTGAGCATGTTTTCCATGAGATTCTACTTGGGTTTTTCTTGTGTAGTTTCCAAAAAACCCCTTATATGGAACAAGGAAAAATGTTGAAATGGGAAATGCAAGAGGTTAGGAACAAGGTGTGAGGAGCAAGTATAAGAAAAATGGTGGAAGATAATATGACCGTTTGAGCAAAAGGGATTGCAACGGTCGAATTGCGTGAACTGTGAAGCAATGCTTAGATTTGGGATTTAAATATGTCATTCGTTGACGATGAATAAAAAATATTTAATTTGTTGATAATTCAAATAATTTTACCTTTTATTTATTAATATGAGGTGATCCAACAAAATAATATATTAGAACCAACACATGTACCATGAGGGAAATTTAAGAGTTAAAATGTATTTTTTCTTATTGATTTTTTTTTATTGTCTTTAAAATCCTGACAATGAATACGAGATTCATAAATTTGTATAAGATTATATGTCTTACTAATATGTTAAAAATTATAATTGATAAAAAGGTTTTTTCCCGCATAATTTATTCAATTGCAACAGGTATTAATTTAAGATATAATACTTAATATTAAATCCTATGAATCAAAATGCCTAGTCCATGAAGAGGTTGACCAAATAAAATCAATTATAACTCAATAAGCGTCTTCACAATGGCATTAATCAAACATATTTTAGCCATGAAAGAAATATAATACAACATACAAGGCCAATTGCATCTTGCAATATAATATAAGCTTTGTCATGATATGTAAAATTTATCTTTTTCCTCTTCATTTTTCCAATTAAGTGGATTTTTTTAGTGATAGTGTTTTATGAAAATGAAAATAGGTAAAATGAGAATTCACTTTTGTTTTGATCCACATAACGAATAACGAATAACGAGTCGTACAGTCTGTAAAAGTTTAAGGATTAAGTTAATCCTAATTCGATTGCAAATAAAGTTTTAGTCCTACCCCAAACCATACAAACACTCTCTATAAATAAAGAGTTAAATCCCATAGGTACACACTTATGAAATCTTAGTCTGTGCTATTGTTATTGTGCATATGTACCATCCATCCCCTTTGATTTCTAGTGTCTTTTTTTTGTACATTAATCTATCACCCCTTGCAGCTATCTCCTTTGTAGATGTCGTTGGTCCTCAAACCCAACATTAATAATGATCCCTCTTGGATTGAACATGGACGTCGTTTGTAGGAGTCGATAAACTTCGACTCCAATCCAATTATAGTGAGCATACACAATGCAAAATAGAGCCACAAGTATTGCCAATAACCGCAACCAAACTCTAATGCGTTAGACTGAACAACCTAAGCAATAGTGGAGAACAAGACTCTGTAACCCTGTTTGTCCCAACAGCCCAGCGCCCACTCCCTAGGTTGCAGCACATTCACCTGATCTTGTCCAAGCAATGATATCCCTCGATCATTTCTTGGACCGTGGATAATTGACTCTAGTGCTTCTAATAATCTCCCTAGTAATAAGAACTTTCTCACATCTCTCACTTATTCAGACAATTTACCACAAGTTACCCTTGTTGATGGTACCAAGACAATTGTCTGTGGCATTAGACAAGTCCTCGTTTACTTTTAACCTCGATTCTTTATGTTCCTAGCTTCTCTTTTAATTTAATATCTACCAGTCAATTGTTTGTGACATTGGACAAGCGTAGTCGTGTCCTCGTTTACTTTTACCCTTGTTAATGGTACAAGACAATTGTTTGCGGAATTGGACAAGCATAGTCGTGTCCTCGTTTACTTTTAATCTCGATTCTTTATATTCCTATCTTCTCTTTTAATTTAATATCTACCAGCCAACTCATTATTTCTCTTCATTTTTCTGTTACCTTTTATGTAAAAAATGTTCTTGTGTAGGATCTGGGTAAGGGGAGGACGATTGGAGTTGATAGTGAGTCACACGGCCTTTACCATCTTGTGGTGCTTAATTCTCCAGTGGCATGTACCATAATAGATACTCCAGACCTAATTCACAATCGTCTTAGACATTCGAGACTATCTACAATCCAGAAGATGCTCCCTTATCTATTTCGTTTACAATCTTTGAATTGTGAGTTTTATCAACAAAAGAAACACACATGTTCCTCCTTTGCTAGTTGTGACATTAAAAGGGTAAAGACTCCCTTCTCTCTTGTAATCTTGTTTATTCAGATACTTAAGGCCCAAGTCGAGTTAGGTCCTGTTTGAAATTCTTATATTTTGTGATCTTTATTAATGATTAATTAATCTCATTACATCTAAGTTTTCTTGATAAAGAATCACTTGAAATTGTTGTCATGACCCAAATTTTGAATCATGTTTGGCACATGGACTAAGATAACCATAACATCCCTTAGCCAGGGTAAGGCTAAGGTAACCACCACATTTGTAAATATTGGTCGTGTAATTCCTTATTATAAATATAATACCTTTTGTAGTTTGATAAGACACAAAATTCTCAAATTCAAATAAATTGTTTTAAAAAGTTTAGTTTTGTATAACAATCTACCAAAAGTCCCAACAACAAAGAGAAAGGAAAAAATTAATACCTAATTTTTTTTTAAAATATAATTATGATGATATATTAAATAATTATTTTAAATAAGTATGCAAATATCTTTTATAATTATTTGACAAAAATACTTACATATAATGTCAAAGAACACTCTTTTCATAAACTATTTGTCAAAGCATTTAAATTAGGGCATAACTTTCCTTTTTTCACAAGACACAACTCATTTTTTGTTGTTGACACAATTAGATGTGATGCCACCACAGTTTTTATTTTTAAAAAACAATTGGCTCACATTTCGATCTATCAGTAGGATGGAAAATAGTTTTTCTTGTAATACGACAAATTGTTTCCCTTTAAATTAAGAATATATAGCCTTGTTAAAGAATAATATAAATAATTAAAAAAGTTCTCATTCAACACTTTAAGGTTTTGTGTTAAAATAATTCTTTACATAATATCATAACTTCAGTGATCACAAGGTCACGAGTTCGATCCTCACATCCTTCCATTTCGTAGTGGAATTAAATAAACATAAGATAAACTAAAAAATTGGACATGTGCAATATCTAAGCTTCAAGCCTCTTGCGTGAGTCACAAGGTGTGTTAAAGAATAATATAAACAATTAAAAAGGTCATCGCCTAACAACTTATGATTTTGAGTTGATGTGATTCTTTACCTTTGTTTACGACACATCTTTTGATATTTTCCCTGACAAATTTTTTTTACAAACTCTCATAAATGATATCTCAAATTCACCGTAATTGTTTTAAGAGTTTAATATTTTTTATGTTGTACGATATGATTTTATCTCCTCCACACACATAAAGATTTGTGGGCCCCATATGAGACCATGTGAAGAGAAAAGAGAAAAAAAAGATATATGGATTTCATATACTTTTATATATATGTTTAAGATAAAATTATCTCATGTAACATGAGAAACAATGATCTCTTGTTTTAATCAATAAAAATGATTCTATAGTTATTGAAGTTTGTAAAAAAACTTGAGAGAATAACGGTCTGTTTGATTGTGTTCTGGTTTTTTTGTTCTTAAAACCAGTGTTTTAAAACTCGGACCGGTCATCGAACCGGTCGAGGTACTGGGTCACTGGTTCAACCGGGTAGAATCGGTTTTACTGTTCACATGTTAAAAAAATAAAAATATTACTTATATTAATAAAAATTCACATAAGGAAACTATCTATGAGCTTCAAAAAATAAATTGGTTTTCAATGATAGCAAATATTATATATTTCTAACCCGAGTCAACCGGGTCGTCGGGTTTCGGCCGGGTCAACCGATCCAATCCGGGCTGACTGCATAACCGGTCTAACTACCCGCTCAGACCGGGGAACCCACCGGGTCACCGAGTCCCGGGTCGACCCGGCCGGGTTTTAAAACACTGCTTAAAACTGTTTTGTAAACTAGTTATGGAAACAATTGTTTTCTATATTTTTTTTCTTTTTGAAAGTTAAAAATCAAAACAAAAACACCTTAGACATATTCTCTAAATTTGGTTCTAAAAACAAAAAAACAGTTATAGTTTTCAAAACATTTTTTACAAAGGGGGAGGATCCACTTACCACCAAAAAAATTTACAACTCTTACAACCAATTTAATCACCGTTGATTTTCGTCAATCTAACGGTTTTAAATTAATGAAAATTAATAATTGTGACACAATAAATGTTATTAATTTATAACCGTAGATTGACGGAAATCAACGGTGATTAAATTGGTTGTAAGAGTTGTAAACTTTTTTGGTGGTAAGTGGATCCTCCCTCTTTTACAAAACAGATCTTACCAAACGAGTTTTTTTTTTTTTTTTTTTTTTGTTCTGAAAACTAAAAAGCTATTTTTAAAAGGGATAAGTTATTCTACCTACTCCCTTCTTGCCTACCTTTTGCCTACCCCTTTCGTCACCGTTGGATTACAATCTAATCCAACGGTCTATAATTACGAAATAAAATAATCTTTTTTTTTTCTTTCTCCTCACTTCTTCTCTCACCCTTTCTCTCTCCTCCCCTTTCTCTCTTACTCTGCAGACACATTCTTATAGGAACAATAATGATGTAGATGAATTTTTTTAAGGACAAAATTGATCATGCCATTCTAGATTTGGCAGCGTTTCTATTCTTTTTTTCCTTTTATTATTTGAATTACATGTATGTACCTTCCTTTAATTTGTTCTATAAGTCGGCAATTCCTAGAGTCAAAAAGAAATTGAGTTTAAACCTAAAATATTATGTTCATATTACTTTCGGTGACACCATTATTGTGCATAAATAGTAAACTTCCTTTCTTTAAAAAATTTCCCCAGACATAAAGCTAACAAATCAAATCCAGTGAATAACTGATGCTAATTTGATGAAGACTGAACAACCTTGGAGAATATAGGCTAAGCAATGACAGAATTGAACCCATCTTACTCTTAGAGCAAACAGAAATAGAAAAGCTGCCAAATCTAGAATGGCATGATCAATTTTGTACTTAAAAAAAGATTCATCTACATCATTATTGTTCTATAAGGATGTGCGGGAATCGCATAGGAAAAGATAAAGGGAAGGAGAGAGAAAGGGTGTGGGAGGAAGTGAGGAGAGAGAAAAGAAAAAAGGGGTTATTTTATTTCGCAATGATGGACCGTTGGATTAAATTGTAATCCAACGGTAATGAAAGGGGTAGACAAAAAGTAGGCAAGAAGGGAGTAGGTAGAATAACCTATCCCTTTTTAAAAACACTAATCAAATAGAGCCTAAATCTTTATATAATATCATTTTCATGTTTTTTTTCACATAGTTACCAATGATTAATTTTTTTTTAATTTTGCACAAAATTCATTCATGTTTTTTCTCCAAAAAATTAAAAGATTCGAATGTTGCTTAAAAAAAAGGGATTTGAAGAAGTCGAAAGCACGAGTTTGATTTTTCAAACTTGAAATTTCTAACCTAGGAAAATGGCAAATGTTCCAATTGAACCGCGTTCCAAAGCAGATATAATTAAAAAACATAAAGGTCACAAAAATCAACAACAATGTTGTTGACAATTTGCAGGGACATAGAAATTACAGCTATGAACAATAACATAATTTATATTTAAAAAAAAATTTATTATTAAGTTTCACACGAGAATCAAGAAAATAAATTACTTTCTCTTCTCCCTTGTCTTGTTCTCCATAACAAGGTTTGATTTTTCTGTCCTTACTAGTTAAAAGTCAACATACAGTGCATTAGTCAACACCATTTTTATTGCTAGTGTTGATTATGGACATATTTAGATCTTATAATTCTTATCTTCATTCATGAAATTCAATCCATGTTCTGCTTTTTGATCATTATTAGGCACTTCAATAACAAGTTCAAAGACTGACACCAAGGATGCAAAGGTAGGCTGATACTATTCATCTTCTTGTTTCAATCATGGTTTCTGCTCATAGTTTTTGTTCTGCATCTTTAACAACAATAGTCTTTTGGTTTATGCAGGCACTAAAAAAGGTTTTTTTTTTTTTTACCCATATTAACACTGGGTTTTGAATTTGGTTGGTGATGTTCTAGTGTGAAAGAGAGAAGTGGAAGATTCTATAGAGACAAGTAAGATCTGGGTTCAGTCTTAATTGTTCTTTTTTGGAGTGTGTTTCTCTAGTATGGCCTTTGAGGAGTCTGAGTTTGTGATTCCTGAGCTTGAAAGAGAGGAAAACTTGATTGCTGCAGCAAGACACATTGTGAGGGCATTAGAGTCAAAGAAGAGTCTCACTAGTGATGCCAAGAAAATTTTGGCAGAACTTGGCACCCAATTGTCTTCTATCTCCAAAATCAATGAGAAGGAGGAGGGGGGGATTAGTGCTTTTGAAGATAGGCTTGATGCCATTCAGGAGATAATAATGAGATGGGAGGAACATCAGTGTATGATTTGGGATTGTGGACCAGATGAAGTATCTGGGTATCTGAATGCAGCTGAAGAAGTTCATGGATTGATAGAGAAGTTGGAGAGCTTGCATTTGAGCAAAGAGGACCAAGAGTACAAGTTTTTGAATAGGGCTTATAGTGTTCTTCAAACAGCTATGGCAAGGCTTGAAGAAGAGTTCAGGAACTTGCTTATCCAGAATAGGCAACCTTTTGAGCCTGAATACGTGTCTTTCAGATCAAATGAAGAGGATATTGCTGATGAGAGCTCTGTGGTATCTTTAGGTGATGACTCAGTTGAGGAATCATTCAGAAGAGACAGTGTTAGCAAAGCCTCAGAGGAGCATATCCTTGATTTAGTTCATCCAAATGTGATCCCACATCTCAGGTGTATCTCAAACTTAATGTTTGCTTGTAATTATGACCAGGAATGTTCCCATGCTTATACCATTGCCAGAAGGGATGCCTTAGATGAGTGTTTCTTCATTCTTGAAATGGAAAGGGTGAGTATTGAAAATGTCATGAGAATGGAGTGGGGTACTTTAAATTCCAAAATCAAAAGGTGGATTTGGGCTGTGAAAATCTTTGTCACAGTGTATCTTGCTAGTGAGAGGTGGCTCAGTGACCAGATTTTTGGGGAAGGGGAACATGTTAGTCTAGTTTGTTTTGTTGATGCATCAAAGGCTTCAATATTGCAGCTTCTGAATTTTGGTGAAGCCATGTCCATTGGTCCTCACCAACCTGAAAAATTGTTTAAAATTCTTGACATGTATGAGGTTCTGGCAAGCCTTATGCCAGACATTGATGCTTTGTATTCAGGTGAGGTCGGTTCTTCTGTTAGGCTCGAATGTCATGAGATTCTAAAGAGATTAGGCGAATGTGTGAGAGCAACATTTCTTGAATTTGAAAATGCCATTGCATCAAATGCATCATCAACCCCTTTTATAGGTGGTGGGATTCATCCTTTGACCAGGTATGTCATGAACTATGTTACAACTCTCACTGATTATAGCCAAACACTTAATTTGCTTCTGAAGGATCAAGAAGAACATGATGCTATTTTGGTGTCACCTGACATGAGCCCTGGTACAGAAGAAGACAACAAAAGCCAGGGATCTCTAGGTAGAGTTTCCTCAATGACCCTCCACTTCAGATCAGTGGCTTCAATCTTGGAGTGCAACCTTGAAGACAAGTCCAAGTTGTACAAAGAAGCATCATTGCAACACTTGTTCTTAATGAATAATTTATGTTACATGGCTCAAAAGGTTAAAGGGTGTGAACTTAGGTTGATATATGGAGATGAATGGATTAGAAAGTGCAAATGGAAGTTTAGGCAGCATGCAATCAATTATGAAAGAACTAGTTTGAGTTCCATTCTGTCCTTGCTCAAGGATGAGGGAATTCAAATTCCAGGTACAAATTCTGTCTCAAAAAGTCTTCTTAAGGAGAGGTTAAAAAGCTTCTACCTTGCCTTTGAGGATCTTTATAGGATCCAAACATCTTGGTTTGTCCCAGATGTTCAGCTTCGTGAAGAATTGAGGATTTCTCTATCCCTGAAAGTAATCCAAGCTTATAGGACATTTGTTGGTAGGCATAATAGTTATATAAGTGACAAACACATCAAATACAATTCTGATGATTTAGAAAATTATCTTATGGATTTCTTTGTAGGAACTCCAAAATCATTGCAAAATAGCCATAGGGGGTGATAGTAGATATATAGGCCAAGTAATCATGTTCCCTAGGAGAGGCTTGTACTCTCACATACTAGTTAGGGTCCATACCAAAACCTTTCTAGTCCCACTTTGTGCATATTGTGTATTCGTTGAATGGAAAAAGTTTTAGAATTATTGTGCTTTGCATGGTCTTCTACCATGAGCATGTTGATATGTTACTGTGTTTGCTAAGTGATATAGTGAGTGCATGTTATGTGGTGAGTAGATTATCATGATGTACCTTTTCTGTTGAATAAAGAAGACAATTTGATAGAAGTTTGTCAATTATTTTGTAGCTTCATTGGCATAGGCATGTACTCAATATTAAGGCTCAATAACATAATGATATGGGTGGGTGCTCCTGCATCTGTATTGTTTTATGGGCCATTGATCTCAATGAATGTGATTAAAGTGGATCCAAACAAATTTTACATTTAGAAAAAAAAAAGGACTTATGCACAGCATAATTAGGTTATTCTTAGTCCATTCATACCATTGGTTGACGAAAAAAAGACATTTATAATATGGGTTTTATAAGAGTTATGTTGTAGGGAAAGTGACTCTGTAATGTTATAGAAATTCGTTTTGCGTACCGTAATTTCTTTTTTTTTTTCTTTTTTCTTCAAAAAGTGTGAGCCCCACAAAATGTTGTGTGTGTAGGAAAGTTTATTGTGTCATGTTAAATGACAAATGCAAATCCCTTATAATATTTTTTTATAATCAATTTATAAAATTTAATTAAAATATAATCTGTATGTTTTCTAATATTAGGAGTTATAATTTATTGTTTTCATAATTAATGATTGTAAATATTAAATAAATAGAATAAAGCTGTTTAGCAATATTTCGAGCTGTTCACAAATTCTTATCATTAATATTTTACAAACTAATTTCACTTTCTTGTGACTTTATTAAATATCACATATCTTAACAATTTGCAAATATGTAAAATAATATCGGTAAAATCTACATAAATCGAATGGAAACTTACGTGGCACCGATATCGTTACGACACGATATTTCGACACGTTAATTCTAAAAAAATTAAATTTTGACACGTTAAGACATATTTTGATATTGAATAATATTTTTAATTTATGTTGCGTATATTATATTTAATATTCAATAATTTAACAAAAAAATAAAGCTAAACTTATAATACACATTAACTTTACAAAGAAACAAAAGATATCACAAATATTTATATTAAATTTCATAGAATGGTAATAGTAATCTATCGAACCTAATAGTTAGAACTAAAAACGCAACATAACGCAATCTTTGAATCTTTTTTTGAGTTTCTACAATGCGGGTTGAAGTGTCGAAGAATGTCGGACATGACACGTCGAGATTTTTGAAATATCGGTGCTTTGTACACTATCTATCAATTCAATATCACACATTTTCCATTATAGATTAGAAGTAACAAACTGCAAAAATAAGGGCTGAATACAATCTATGAAATGAACGTCACATATTGACTTGATCACTGAAAGAGAAAGAACACAATTAGTGGACCATGACCGTACATCCAGCATAAGAGAAAAGTTACTACAATGAAATGCACAAATCCAGTCATATATATTTTCTGTCAAAATTGTAATAAAAAATAATGCATTATAATTATTTCATATAAAAAAATTTATTATTCATTGAGAGATAATAATCATAATTTATGATTGCTGACAAACTAATTAACAAATTTATGATTTCCCCTCGATCGCTAAACTCTGACCAATCAGTCAATTGAAGTATAATATTCTTATTTAATTGTTAAATTATAACAATTATCTTTATAGGAACTTTCACTAATTCTACATTACACTTTTTAATGGAAGAATGACATAACAAGATGAAAATCCTCCATTTATCTCTAATTTAACTCAATTATATTAATTTGTTTTTTATTTTTATTTTATACTTGTTATTTTATCATACATAAAAAATACCCTGAATTAGCTAGATTTCACTGGAAGCCTTATTTGGTTTTTTTATTAATTGTATATATTTTTGTATTTTTAAATAATTATTTAGATAAAAATGAAAATAAAATACAATATAATATAAGAATTAGAACATATATAGCAGCTGCATGCATGTTTGTCCCAAAGTAATGTAAATATCATAACTCTCACAATCTTGACAATTTAAGAAAAATAAATTGAATGGTTTATTGTGATAATTGTTATAATTTAAGGATTAAATGTAAAAAATATAATTCAAGTGACTTGGGGCGTAGAATGGCAATTTGACACTTTTAAGTATATAAATGTGAAAAAAATTTTACATGATTTTGTCACTTTAGAAAGCAATTTATTAGTAGGGGTGTTCGCGGTCTGGATTGGATCGGTTTTGAAGCAAAAAACCATCTGATCCAATTCCTTCGGTTTGGTCATTACATCATCCGATCGGTTTGAATTTTTTTTCAAATCCGATCCAATCCGATCCAATTTTTTTCGGTTTGGATTGGATCTGTTTTCGATTTTTTGAAAAGCCAAAAAAACAAAACTTAAAAGAATTATTTTTAAAAAAGTGACGATGTTTCAAAACATTTCAAAATTCAAACAGTTATCAGAATTGGTTCACATGTCTTGTACATCAAAGATTATGTCACAGCCACACAAAATCAAAGATTATGTGAAACGGTTATCAGAATTGGTTCACATGGATTAGAAGCAGAAGAACTGCAGAGAACGCGAGAGATCTTAAAAACGTTATGTCACAGCCACACAAAATAAAAGGCGATTGTTTGAAACCAACGAAAAATGAAGGAAAATATTATTGCTTCATCACACGAATAACGGGAAGAAATTTAGAAATCTGCTTTGCTATACCTTTATCATGCCCTTGATGCAAATAAAATCAAGTGTTATAGTACCTTTGTTATATGTTTATTTGGTTGTTTAACGGAAGAGACAAACGTTGATTTTTGAGAAGAAAGAGATATGCTACGGGTGCCAGAGCGTGAGTGACTGAGAAGAGTGAGAGACTAAGAGGACGGCAAGAGTGAGTTTGGATGGATTAGGTTTAGAACTTTGGGTGGGTTTAAAACTGATGGGCTAACGCACGGGTGGGTTTAAAACTTTGGGCCGGCTATTATTTGGGATAGGTAATAGGTATAATTTGGTAAAAAAAAGTTTGGATCGGTTTGGATTGGATCGGTTTTCAACATCAAAACCGAAAACCGATCCAATCCAGTAATTTTTTTCGATTTTTTCGGTTTTCGGTTTTTCGATTTTCGATTATTTCGGTTTTCAGTTTTTCAGTTCGGTTTTTGCGGTTTAAATCGGTTTATGAACACCCCTATTTATTAGTACTCTATTACGATTTACGAGCATTGTTCATACTACGGTAATTCAGAAAGTAAAATTTATTAGTGCATTTGCTTTTAATTTTATATTCAATAAAGTCATAAGAATCCAGCACGAAAATTAATTAAATTAATTTATAAATTACTAATAAAAGTTAACGACATTCTGGGTATCTAATATCTACAATCATTAATTATAATAATAAAAAACCGCAGTCATTGAAAATATATAAATCAAATACAAATCTAATTTTAGTTAATTACAAGTCAGGAAATATAAATTTCAGTGCGACCATCCAATTAAGTGCTCAATCACATTCCCCTTGAATAGTCATAAACCATTTTGGCAGCCATAGTCTATGCTTAAAGGGCTCTAACATCAGAAGAAGTAAGAGTTCATTTGGCAGAATTTGGGTGACTTCTATGGGTAAATTTACTATTCTAAAGGATTGCCATGAGTAACACGAGTGCATTTTTTTAGTACAAAATCAGCAATTTTGTCTGATTGTTCAATTTTTTTATGCAATTATTGTATTGTTCTCTCGAATGGCCTAATTATTAAAAGCATAAAGGTTTAAATAGGGTAGAAATTTTTTTCAATACTAAAACATCTCATTTTGGGTATAAATTATGGGTTCGTTTTTTCTGCAGTTACTGCAGATAAGTTATCTGCAGTAAGCCCAATACGATATCATTTTGGGACGGAAATCATGGTATTTTTATAATTTTAATTTATTTCAGGGTTATTATAGTCTTTATAATTATAATTTTTTAATCTTTCTATTCCAAAACGACGTCGTTTTGAGAATAAATGCAGATAACTTATCTGCAGTAACTGCAGAAATATTTTTCTGATAAATTAATGGGTTGATGAGACAAAGTTTGGTCTAAATAAACCAGGAACATTAATAAAATATTTTGAATCTAGTTTGGTCCGGGCATATTAGTTTATTTAAACCAATGAAATATTCAATACCTATAAAAATTAGAAAAAATTAAATAATATAATATTATTTCATTAATTATAATAATTATTTTTAATTAAAATAAATAATGTGATATAAGTTGACCTGTAAACTTGAAGGCCAGACTTTGTAAAAATAGGTCCATGACGTATTTCGTAATAAGCTTGTTTAAGATCTTACTCTACTTTACTGAATATATTAACACATTCTTAATAGGTCATCTAACCCATTTATATTATTACCCATCAGCCACAAGGGTCACAACGGAGGAGGATATCAAAATGAATTAGAGGTGTCACTTTTTAACATAATTTAAATACGACATGAATTTTTAATGTTTGTATCAACCTGTTTTCGTCTTCATGTAAACGAAAAAGTGACCCAAAAAACGCGTATCGTGTTCGTATCAGAGGTATTCGTATTTGTGTGAATCCATTTATATTAAGTAATTATATATTTATCAAATTCACCCCATTTGTATTTATTATTTTGAGATTAGAATTTTAAAAGATTTTTTTGAGTTAAAAAATCTTTTAAATTTTAAAAGATTATTTAGAATTGGAGAGACTTTAAAGACTTTTTTAAAAGACTTTTTTTACAATCAAGATTTCATAAGATTGGATTTTAAAGAATTTTAATAGAATTTATAAGATTTGAAAGGACAATATGAATTTATAAGATTTTAAAAAACTATATGAATTTTTAACAAACATTCAAAATTGCAAGAGTCAATACAAAAGAGAAAGGTTATACTTACAACCTATTTTTGTTTACAACATTTTACAACTATATCTTAACCGTTGATTTTCGTCAATCAGCAGTTATCATTCATTGTAAATTAAATATTAATTAATGAGTTTGATTTGCGAAAATAATAACCATTGATTGACGGAAATCAACGGTTAAGATATGGTTGTAAAAGTTTGTAAACAAAAATAGGTTGTAAGTATAATCTTT